TGCAAAAAGTAAAATTACATAAAAAAAGTAGTGTTACATATTCGCATTCATATACATATAAACCTTTTCTCAAGTTTAATTAGTGCTTATTTTGATTACATGCTGCTATATTGAGAGGACGTAACCATGACCTCACGTGCCGATAAAATACGTAACCAATTGAATTACAAACTACATGCAAACTTAATTATCCTTCACGGGAGGTTGATTTGCCGTCGCAATAAACATATATGTAGAAAGCATTTTTCATTTCTTATCATGATGCGTGGAAACTTACGAGGGCCAAAGAAAAAAAATGTACAATCTTACTTAGAGGGTACAATATTATTATTTATAAAAACAAATTGATGTGTGGCTAATTAGAAGGCACAAATTGATCCAATAGGATTCTTTTTGTGAGGATTCCGATGATTCGTAAATCATGTTCATTTATCGTACATTGTACGATCAGTTTTCATCAGATGCTGTTTGTATTCAATTTTAACTGGATCCTCACAAAGAGGATCTGGAATCCAAATGGTTAACCTGTCCAAGGATCCAACCATACATATTGGCAATTGCAAAGCATAGCTAGATTGGACGTATTAGCTGCACTGAATTGAAGTGATGTATGGTAACCAATTAAGCCATAATTAGTAAATATTAAGAGACTTTAATTAATAACCTTTTCAATGGACAATTAAGCTGCTTGATGTCCTTTATTTTGGCACCCATGATTTTACTTTCTACCAAACATTACAACGAAACTTGTCATGCGTTTCCCAAGGAAATGATTCATGGATTGTTCTGGTGTGGTTTATGTATGATAACAAAGTTATAAGCTGTTTGTTTGAATAGAATTAACATCTTAGATTATTTTATAGGGAACTTTAACGAAAAGTTCCCGATACTTCTCACTTTAACGAAAAATCACATTTTTACACTAAAAAGTCATCATGATACTATTCACTTTACCTTTATTTTGTCTTTTTCTTTAAAACTCAAAAATTTCAAGTCATTTTCATTAGTTTTCCTTATTTTATATTCATCGTTGTTTTAAAAATCTCCGCTTAGCGTCTAGACTGACCATCGTCCTAATTAATTTATAGACATTTGAAAATTAAGAAAAAGCCTCTAGATTTGCGTAGGCGCCTGCTTAGCTCACCCAGACCTGTCTAGACACCCCTTTAGATTGCGACTCTAACTTAGACAGAAAATACATATCCATTTTACATTTTATTTTATCAATAAATTGTAAGAAACTTGTTGAATACTTGGATGAACACTCATTATATATCATTCCCCATGATTTCAATATGTTCTTATACTTTATAATATATACATTTGTATCATAATACAGTTAAATATAAGTAGACATTTATGTATATGAAGCCTTTAAAAGAAGGGATCATCATTTTTTTTAATGTAAAAATAGAGATTAGTTGTGGGGTCTGCACTACATTGAACTTTAACAATCCAAACAGTCTATTTTTCAAGTTGCACCGCATAAATCATCATTGCAAAATAATAGCAAAATACAAAATATTTGATAGATCTAATTGAGTTCAAGAATTGACGAACACTTCGTTCTTTAAGAAAATTGAAATTTCATTGTCATAATTAAATAGGCAAATGGTTTCGAATTGAATTGAATTTTTGCAATGATGATATATAAATCGAGACTTACAAAATAGACAATTCAGATCGTTAAAGTTTAATGTAGAGTAGCTCCCACAATTAATCCTCAATTTATAAAAAAAAAAGAAAAAAAAAAGAAAAAAAGAAGGGATCCCTTCCTTTAAAGGTCTGTTTATGTATATGTAATATAATAATTTTAATTAAATTTAAAAAACCTCATAGGCCCCTGTCTAGGTTCCACATAGACACGTAGGCTCTAAGTTCCTGCTCGCCACCTGACTAGCGCATTTTATAACTTTCTTATACTAAATAAATCTATATATTATTATGTGAGTATAAAAATGATAAGATCAGTTGTACACGCATGTGCATACTAATTCTAACCATACTTGTAAGATCCACAAAACAAAAATGATCCAAATTAACTCACGCACTCATGCACGACTAATTACACGGTCTAACAATACATATACGACTACAAGTCCATTTCCACATTTGCTAGTTGTCCATTCCCAACAACCCTATAATTCATACAAGAGTTGAAAATATTCATGCAGTTTAGTCCAGAAAAAGACAAATTCCGACGACGTTAGGGCTTTTAGACAAGAATCGAAATGATTTCATGGAAGAAAAAATTGGGAATAATATCAGATAATGTAAATAAAAGTAGAATAAAAAAGGAGGAGGAAATAGTGATACGTTGAATGTAGAGAAGAGAAGCCAAAATCTCAATTTGATGCATCAACACATAATTCACAGGAATTAATCATGTTGTTTGAATGTCCCTTTATTCTTTGACATGATACTCAACAGTTAAACCAACTTTTTTTATATCTTCTTATTTTCTCCTCTCTCTTTTTTCTTCTAATTTTCCCCAAGCGTTAGCATAATTGCTTATTTGGGTATTTGACAATGGAAATCGATAGAACTTTTCCTTGATTATGTCCACTGTAAACCATTTTAATTATTTCGTGAAAAATCTTTCAATATCTCAATTAAATTGTCATGTAAACAACCTCATAACTTCCTTTTAAAGGAAATTTTTATCAAATCAACTATTTCACTTAACGTGATATTGCCAGCTTTTAACAGAAGAATCAAAATAATTAGGATTGGCAAGTCAAGACAACTTCTCACATTTTTTTTTATCATGACCAAAGTGAAGAGTTATGTCAATCTCAAAGACCATTGTTGCTAACAAGTCTACAAAATCTTAAAAGTATTTTGAATTCGTATAATTTTTATTTTTATTACTATTATTATTATTATTAGGGTAAATTACATAGTAGCCCCTCAGGTTTGAGGTCTATTACAATCGCATACAACAACTTCAAAACATTTCACTTTCATACCCCAACTACTATTTTATTTCAATATAGTACCTCCGTTACATTTTTCATCCATTAATCCATTAAATGCTGACGTGGCTGCCACATACATGCCACGTGGCAAATAAAATAATTTTTTTTTTTAAAAAAAAACCTGAATTTTCTCAAAAAAAAAAAATTGAAGAAGAAGGAAGAAGAAGAAAAGCCCAGAACCCTTCCCTCCCCCCCGCCCCGTCGCGACCTGCAACCCACCTCCTTCCTCCCCCGGGCTACCTTACGGCGACCACACCCCCCCCCCCCGTGCCGCGCCGCCAGAAGAAGAAGAAGAAAAGCCCATAACCTTTCCCCCCACCGCGACCCACGACCCACTTCCCTTACCTTCCGGTGACCACACACCCCCCACCACGCCGCCAGATCTCTTCCTCCCCCCGACTACCTTCTGATGACCCCCCCTCCCCCCGGCCACCTTCCGACGACCCACCCCCCCTGGCGCCAAGATCTCGTGATTTTAAATGTGGGTGAGTTTTGAAAATACTTTGAGTTTGAGATGATTTTTGGACTGCTTTTATGGTAGATCCACCTAATCTCGAGTGCAATTTTTGGGGGGTGGGTGATGGGGGATGGGAGAAAAGGGTGGCTCGGGTGGGACTGGACTGGGGTTTTTTTTTTCTCCCCTCTTCTTCTTCTTGTTGCAGGTTTTAGGGGATGTCGTTTGGGGGGGGGGGGTGAGAGATATGGGTATCCCCTTTTTTTTTCCCTTCTTCTTCTTCGGCTTTTTTTTTTTCTTTTTTTTTTCTCCCTCTTCTTTCTTCTTCTTGTTGCAGGTTTCTGGGGAGGTCACTGGGGGGGGGGGGGGGTAGGTATCCTTTTTTTTTTTTTCCCTTCTTCTTCTCTGGGGGGTGGGTGAGGGATATGGGTATCCCCTTTTTTTTCCCTTCTTCTTCTTCTTCGGCTTTTTTTTTTCTTTTTTTTTCTCCCCTCTTCTTCTTCTTCTTCTTGTTGCAGGTTTCTAGGGAAGTCACCGGGGGGGGGGGTGGAGGGATATAGGTATCCCCTTTTTTTTTCCCTTCTTCTTCTCTAGGGGGTGGGTGAGGGATAAGGGATATGGGTTTCAAATTTTTTTTTTCAATTTATTTATTTTTTGAGAAATTCGGATTTAAAAAATATATATATTATTTGCCACGTGGCAGCCGCATCAGCATTTAACAGATTAATAGATGGAAAATGTAACGGAGGTACTATATTGAAATAAAATAGTAGTTGAGGTATGAAAGTGAAATGTTTTGAAGTTGTTATATGCGATTGTAATAGATCTCAAACTTGAGGGGCTACTATGTAATTTACCCTTATTATTATTTACCAAAAGATGAATAAAAACCCAGAAATTGCTGGAAGTCATAAGATTCACACATTGACTAATTTCCAGCTTTTCAATCCTTTCATGGATCTCAAATAAACGTACTTTGAAAGAGTAGCAAATCAAGCCTACGTTTTATAGCCCATTTGACTCATCTGCTACACCTGCTAGTTCTTATCTATTTTTTTTTTTAAATTGGAAGAAATCTCAAAATCGAATCTCTCATTCATCATTGAACAAGAAACAAAACACTAACGGTTCGCTTTGGCACCGTTTGGTACGTGGGACGGGACGGGACGGAACGGGACGAGCTGTTATGTCCCACGTTTGGTGCGCCTAAAAACTGTGGAACGGGTAGTCCCATGGGACGAAATTTGGCTGATTTTTCGTTCCACCTCTTCCCCCTAGAATGACCCGTTCCACATCCGTGGAACACAAATTTATAACATTTTATGACAAAATTTCTCCTTATCTTTTTCAATATTTGCATCATCTGTTCCGTCCCATCCCGTTCCATCCTGTCTGCATACCAAAAGGTACCTTTCTAAACTCCTCCCCTTAATTACATCGCTCGATTCTCCTGTCAGTTACAATCGCCAGAAACGGGAGAGGAGAGTGCATAAATCATTTCCCGTCAAGTAAAATCCTTCATCTTCACCAACACAAAAGTTGCACAAATGACAAGCCACAGGCTCAGAGGTTCTTCAATCGATGCCAATTTTATTAACCACAAAACTTATTGTCCCAATTGATAACAAACGAATAGAAGTTATATCACTACTATTACTAATACTAGAACATAATCAGCAGCCAACCTAATCTCTGCCAATCTTAAGAGGCATTACCAAACCGAACAACACAACTCTAAAACTTTGCCTGGACAAGTTTCCAACCTCACAAACAAGTATAAGTGCAAGCGTAAACCACACAGCAAGCTTAACCGGCAACCGTTGCTCTCTCTTGTGAAAGAAGGCGCAAGGGTTGCAAAGAAACCCCTTGTCGAGAAGGTTATATCACTGCGCTTCAATAAGACACCTACAAGCCTACTACTGAAGAACCTATACACATGCTATTGCTAATGAAGCTTCAAGTGTCGAGCCACAGTGAAGCACTACCGAGACTAACGAAGCTGGTATTGGGGCCTCCATTCCTGCATGTGGCCCCTTGAGTGTTGCAATTGCTTCTGAAGTGTTTAGGATGTTCCATCTGAGGAAGCAAGCTCATTTTTATCAGTGTTCAAATTGATATTTGACTGGGATTTGTCACCCGATGTCATTTCATCCGGTTGGTTCCCATTTTTCTTCGCATTAAGAAAGCGACCCCCGCATCCTCTAGCTCTTCTCAATGCATGCTGGTGTCGAGATTCATGCAAATATGGCTGCAAGAGTTGTTTGAAGTGTCAATGGATAAATGAAGCCTGCCAAAACATTTCATTGAACACAAGATGCAAGGATTTGCAATCCACAATATTACCTTTCGATTCTTAAGCGCTTTATTTTCAGATTCTGCTTTAGCACGAGACTGCCGACGTCGCAAGATACCATGATACTGTTTTGCATTTACAAACACAGGTTCCTCAACTGCATCTGATGGCAGTGGAACACCTGCTTGCTGGATTCCCATTAACTGAAGATGAACCTGAAATGAAAACAGTCATTGCCATAAAATTTTATGCCCATAAGCAAAATCCGGTCTCAATTCGCCATATTCAAGTACTATTATCAAGAAAGGATATCTATAAGAAAGGGGAAGATATACCGTTGGTTGCGCCCCATAGGGCTGTGGAGGATACGGCTGTGTTTCATAGGGAGCAAAGATGCTTCTGTAGTAAGGGTCTGGATAGGGGTAACCTCCTGGTGCCTTCAATTAGACAAGTGAAATATAATGTATCAAAAGATTTGAAATTCAATTAGGTACAGATGATAAATTTTTCCTCTTCCAGCTCTCTAAGTTGTAAATCTAATCGGCCAGAACCAGAACATTGATATGCTGTTTATTCAGTTATAGAAGCACTTACAGCAACCAATTTGTTCAAACAAGGTCAACAGTTTCAAACAGATAGTGAAAGTACACAAGGGTAGTATAGGAAGGGCTCACCTAAAGAGGTAATGGAGAAGGGAAAAACTACGCATTAATGTCTAGGGCTAAGAACTCTTACAATGGAGTAGGTAGCAAAAAGAATCAGATGAACCTTTAGGCCAAGAGGAGACATACAAAAGATAGCTCACAGGATATTGTTTATTTCAAAATCTATGCCAAGTACCAACTATATATAAGAGTTTGTATATGATTTCCTATGACTATTAGCGCAAATGTGCCGGATATCTTAAGACTAACCTAAAGCATTTACATCAATATTACAAACAAATATTTACATGAAACTTAGCTAGAGTAGCAAAACTTACCGATGATACTTAACATTCTAGAATAAGAACGTTTTAAAGGGATGGAAAGGAGGAGGAGAAGAAGTGCAAACAAGACTTTCTTTCCAAATATATACAAATTCTCTTTGGGGCCATGTGCTTGCACATTGCTTCACTGCTCTGTTACCCGAGTTAAATAAGCAAACATCTCATATTTGATAAAGTAACAACTTAAAAAATCATTAATAAGCCTAACTACTGTATATTATTTGATGAATTAACACTGCATATATGCTTCAGCACATTCCAAGTCTTCACGTTCAAACATGGTATATAGGATCATCAATGTACACACACACACACACACACACACACAAACACTGGATGGCACAAAAATAGAGTAGAACAAGTAGTGGAGTTCCTCTTGTATGAAAACACGAAAATATTAAAAAAATTTAGATGGATTACCACTGCATGTCCTGTTCCAACCTGTGGAGGTACTGCATACTGCATATTTGGAGTTGGAACTCCAGGATGTGACATTCCAATTGCAGGTAAGGATGAATGAACTTGAGACTCTGAATGACTTTGCTGGTCATCAGAATCACTATTATCTGCAAAACCAATACCGTAAAGTATATAAGATTGCATTTGAGAAATGGTTGTACCACACAAGTGAGGAAAGGACGAAACAGAAACCATGATATCAAGCATCACACAAGGAAATAAAAACCAAAACTAATAACAAGGAATTGAAAGCTTTGAAGCCTGAGCTTCAATGCTATAAAATCAGAAATATGAGGAAAGACCTACATCACCACCTCAACATATAGAGAATAAGAGCAATATATGAAGCATTTAACCGAAACGTGATAAAACAGCATAACCAGACGGCCTTAAGGGCGACTAAAACAACACAAGGTAGAGTCTTCCTTAGGGCCCACCTAAAATTAAAGGGGTAAATGGGCTATTAGTGGATGATAAATTATGTAAACCATAAACCGAAGTCAGGAACAACCAAGGAAGTCGAGGATTGGAACAGAAACAGATCTGCTAAAACCAAACCAAGATTTCAACCTCAGCTTTAGAAATGAACTCAGTATTAGGCATGAAAAAGGTAAGCAGGTGTTAATCTCACCAAAAGTTATTGGGTTCTAGAATAATCCACAAAAAGAATGGGAATGGATCCTTACTTGAACAAGTTTAATACAAAATTTACACCATTATTTAGATCAAAGAAGCAGAAGAACCAAACAAGAAGCGATTCAATTTCTTTCTACATTAACTAATCCAGCTCAATTAAATGCCAGAAACACAAGTCCTTGTCCATTTACAGCAAGTTGAACTGTTGAATGGACTAAATCACTTAAAGGTATCATATGATAATATGAAATTATGAATATATGGTATTAGGGAATTTTGGGAAAAAAAAATTTACCAGAATGATCGCGCACGGAAGAAATCATGAGGATGTTGTATGTGGACAGTCCCAAAACAATATGTAGCTGCAAAGTAATAATCACCCAGATCAATGTCATACCAAAATAACATGCCACTACAATTACATCAAAAAAGGAGATTATAGGTTGAAATTAGAATCGTATAATAACTAATATCTTCTATTAGTTTCACCATCTAGATAATGCTAAGAAAAGATCTCCAAAACAGAAAATTATAAGCAGACCCAATCTACCAACACCAACAACAACAACAACAACAAAGCCTTTTCCCACTAAGTGGGGTCGGCTTCCACCAACACCAAGGTATCAAAATTAGGGCGAAGAAAAGAATATCCCTTAAATTCAGCTGCTAATCGATGCCCACAAAGAAGCCCAAAAGCTCACTGATACGGCAGTATAACCACATACATTTGAGAACCACAAAAAACAAAAGGGGCAATTAGGAGAGGGAATTGGAAACTGATATCGCAGAACCATATCAGCAAAATGAAAGAACAAGATGCAATCAAAGATACGCGATGACATTGATACTAATGCCTTCAAGTATGAACTAGTAATTTCCGAAGTGTAGCTTCCATTTTCAAGCATAATAAAGATACTGAATAGAAACAGATTTAAAAAAGGGCGTTCGGAGGCTTTGTCTCCCTCCAGTCTTCACAGAGAGTCCGAGGAGGACTGGATGTAAAAATCCTTACCCCCATTTCGAAAGGTTTTTTCCCATTTCGAATGCGTGACCACCGGATCACAAGGAACAATCTTTACCATTGCGTCTAGGTTCCAAATAAATAGATAAATAGATCATCATTAAACAAGAATTCCCTCCCTCTACTAATAAGTTGTAGCCACTGGCGACAGCTGCAGATTTGTACTTAATAATTCTTCAATGAAGGCCTTAAAAACAACTAATTTAACTCATAACACATAATCTTGGAGGCACCGTGAAAACTCCGAAAAGGCGAAAAAAGATTGACTCAGAGTGTTAACGGGAGGCGGTAAACCCTACCTATCTCAATAATTTCCAATCCAACTAATTAAGTTCATCTGCATGACCAGTTCCATAATCAACTAAATAAAATTAAGAAACACACGATTAAACCCAGAAAATTCAGCTCAATTAACTCCGAAAATACCTCACGAAATAGCTCAAAAATCATAAAATCCACCAAATCACGAAGACCAAACAAGTCCCGAGTTCCATGCATTTCCCCCCAATTACACCAATTGGAGAATTCCCCATAAATGGCAGGGCAAAAGAAATTAGAGAGCAAAAAAAGCTAGGGTTTTGAAATTTGGGAAATTTACCTTACTCGCCGGTTGCCGCTTCTTAATTTAGTAAAAATTCTGCTTCTTTCTGCAGCGCAGGGCACAAAAATGGCGTCCGACGGAAACAGAAGTCCTCTCTATCTCTCCATATTATTTCTACTTTCAACTGCATGTCTATTTTCAACCATACATCATTTTCCATTATTTATTTATTTATTTATTTGTTTTTTTTTAAGGTTTTTTTATTTATTTTAATCGGTTAAGCGTCGAGCAGGATCGGGAAGGGTGGAGGGATGTGGGCCGTCGGATGGAGGGTTGTGTTTCGGGCAGGGGGAATGTGCTGCCCGGGAGATAATCTGAACCACGATTTCCGTGGAGCCTACTACGCGGGTGGGCTTGGGGGATTGAGAGCGACTATTGAGCTTTGATTAGCTCTCTAGTACATTTTTGTTCGCCACTCTCAATTGGAAACTTTTGATCCAACGGCTGCTTTTGTTGGTTTGAACGATTTTCTTTAGTTTATTATTTCTTTTTCTGATGATGATACTTGTGGAGTAAAAAATAATCAAGAAAATTATAGAGGTGACACGTGAATTTTTGAGTAAAAATGACAAAATTACCCTTAATGCACATTGAAATTCCCACATGTGCGCAACAGACAACAACGGCTCAATCAAGGAAAAGTTAAAGGTGATCAAAATTGTATTTATTTAAAACCCTCTCATCACTCCTCATCAAATCCTCACTCAAAATGTAACTCATATTTTCCCTATTCAATTTAGGATTAATTGCTAAATTAATTGCAAAATATTATGTGAATAATATCTTGCAATTACACTCATAATTTGACCATATGTGGCCGGCCCCTATTCTCCAAATACGGCCGGTTACTCATTTATAAATAGTCATACTTTCCCACTAAAAGGTTAGACCATTCTCTACCTAAAAATTTTCAAACACATTCTCTTTCAAATTCTAACTTTGGCATCAGAGATTCTTCGGTCAAAATTCCTCATTCATTGTGGACGCGTGAGGTTTTTAGCCTTAATTTTAGGTGTTATTATTTTTACAGATGAATTTTCATCAAAGAAAAAAACGACTGAAGTTTACATTCACAATATCAAGTCCGAAAGAATATCGGGAAGATAGAGAGTAGCTGCCTAGCTACGCCTGGATTGATGGTCACTACCTTCCTTATTATTATTGAATTAATCTAAATTTCAATAATTACGATTTTCGCTTTACAATTTTGAAAATTTAAACAAATTTAACAATATTAAATATGATGATTTGCATTTTAAACAGTCATGAAAACAATATCTATAACAACCCTTTCAGACGATGAGCAAAAATATTCCCCTCTCCCATGTGAGTCAAGAAGACAAGGTAGAAATAAAATAAAATAGGTAATAAACAACAATAGTCCGTATGGGAATTAGGAAGGCTAAATGATTTATTTATGGATTAAAAAATTATGCTGGCAATATCGAGTGACAAGTGTTTGGTGTGATCGTTATACTTTCGTGGTTGTAATATTTTAGATCATACTTTACTAATCGACTGCATATGTGGATTATGGAAGTTGATCAGTATCTGTTCTTGGACGGTTCGATCCATTTTTTTTGGTAATTAGAGTGTCTTTTTCATAGAATGATAGTAGTGGGAGGAAGATTGAGAAATGTTGAGGAGATTATCTTAAAGTGGAATTTTTTATGAATTTTTTTACGCACCACACAGTTTAAGGTCAATTTTCATATCAACATTATAAAATATTATGTGAAAATATGAGTTGGCAGTGATTCTATAAAAAGTACAACTTTTGAGAGAGTTTAGTATTTCTTAAAAAAAATCAGCTAAGTCACATATAAGTCAACCTTAACTAAATTTTGAACCCGTCATTTATAAATTATAGAACTTTGTTGAGGTAAATATTACAACACTACACAGTAAAGTTGGACATAACTCAACGATAACAAGTAACTGAATTATGTCTAATTGTGAAGAATATATCATGTTATCAAGAAATAAATTGTATCGCTTGCAGGTGACGTTTCACTGTAATAGTGAAAAACAATCATGTTTAAATACTTTGGTGTAGATTCAATCTCTACCGATTTTCTTTTTTTCTAACAATTAACTACTTAACTCAATAACGGTATCATGTAAAATATATATATATATATTGTATCAACTGGTTTAAACAAAAATTCAACTGAATGATTTCTGCACACTTATTTTTTTACGTGAAACAAAATGTATTGATATTGCTCACTTAGGCTTGTATTAAAGATTTGACGAGTCTTATTCGAAGGTCAAAATCCTCCAAACTCCAGTCCCCTAGGTGTGGGCTTACTGCTCCTCTCTTCGCCTTTTCGGATGTGGTATATGGGCCTTGGCCTGCACTTTGGTCGTGGATTTTTCCCTTTTAATATAACAATATTTTTTGTGGAAATTTGAGCTAAGCACAACATAAATTTATGGTAATAAATTAATATCGAATTCTTAATCTAGGAGGATACTTTATATATATATATATATATATTATTAGATTGTAGTATTTAGTGACAAACTTTTTTTTTCCTTCTGTTTTGAACAAACAATAGTATCTACACTAACATAATGTGGAGTGAACAAAACCTCACACTAGGCTAGCTATAATAATGTGATTCAAATTTGCATTTGGCAATAATTGAACCTAAAACATTTCACTTACAAATGAATATCACTAGATTGTAATATTTATTGACCGTTAGATTCTTATTTGAACAAAAAAAATCAATAAACATCTTACTTAAGATAAATTAATTTGAAATATACTGCAAAAAACTAAATAGAGGTATTTGAAATGACTAAACACAATGCATTATATCAAGATTTTAAAATAAGGAAAACAAATGAAAAGGGATTGAAAACTTTTGAGTTTTAATCAAAATGACAAAAAGGTGTTGTAAGTGAATAATATCAAGAGTGACTTTTTATAGTAAAAATGTCATTTTTGTTAAAAGTGAACAGTACCAGGATTGTTTCGTTAAAACTTCCTTTAAAATATTCAATCACTGCCCTACTTAATTAGTCTAACACTGATTTAGAGACACGCTTCTACTTAAAAAGGGCATATGCGATAAATATTATCAGAAATTCTAAAGGAGTTCGCTTCAATGTTTTGTGAAAATTCGCATGCCAATTTGATGGAATTTGGTTATAGTATATTGAAGAATCTCGAATCCTGAACTTAACCTTGTTATCCTACTTAACCTTACCACGAGAATAAACTCAAGAACATAGTTCATGAATTGAAGCTACAATTTGATCATATTCATAGAATGATGCTCTAATTTTCTCATAAAAATGATCTAGTTTTTAAAATCAAATGTTCAGGGTAGTGCTAAACCAAATGATCTAGTTTTTATCTCTCACATTTTCTTATTAATTTTTGTATATTAATCTTCTTCAATATCTCAATCTATAAATTAAAAATGGAGACGGACGTATGAGAAGTAAAAATTAGTGCGTTACCAACACTATCTGAAAAAAAAAAAAAAAAGTTAGGAGTTTGCATGTAGTTGGTAATAAAACAAAAGTGGAGCATATGCCAAAGCAAACTTGCCACGGATCATCGAAATAAATTATTTAAAGTCGTCAGGTCGAGTGAAGCATCGCAGTGAGAGAGAGAGAGAGAGAGAGAGAGAGAGAGTCCGAGGAGCCAAAGGCAAAGCAAAAACCCGACCTTTGGGACTCTCGGAAGGATCACTTTTATCCCCATTTTTTTCTCAACGACTCTTCTGCTTGTGATTCTCCTGCATGATCCAACTCCCGCATCACCTATATTAACTCCTCGGCCCTCACATCACCAGAAGCCCTCTCAATTCATTCGTACCACCCTCGATCATCCAATCATGTCTCATTTGGCTCTCTCTCAGGTAATCCCCGGTCCCCTTTACCGATTCCTGTTTGTTTCCCGAGAAAATGCAAGAAAAATTGAGTCTTTGGTCGTTTTGTGATTACCCAATTGGATAAATAGCAGATATTTGATTAGATATGGTGTTTTTGTAATTGGGTTTTGATTGTTTTGTTTGCAGGGTTCACTGACTGTGACTGTTCCGCTTGGAAGTGATTTCTCCCTCCGAAGATCTGTGTTCAAGGTGTGATTTTTGTTTTTGGTGGTGTTAATTTCGTAAAGTTGTGTTTGTTTGTTTGTTTTTTAGCTTTTGGTTTATAGCATCTCTTGGGTTCTCCGCTCGACCTTAGGAGCACTTTTTTCATGGATGAAGCTGATAGGAAAAAGATTACTGTTTCGTTTTTCTAATTCCCCTTTTTTTGAGGAGTGTTATGAATCTTGGTGTGCATTGTATATTAATAATTTAGTTTCAAAAGTACAAATAAACCAGCTTTAGCTATTGAATTCAAATGTGATGTTGATGTTCTGTAATGATCGTTGATAGTTGTCGATTTTTCACTGAAACTGCTTGTAATTTGGCCGCAGGCACGAAGTGTTAGCTTTAATGATAAATCATGGACTCCTATTTTACCTTTGGACTTCAAAACGAAGAATGGACGGCTGAGAAATCAGCGCATTCTATGCATGTCAGTGCAACAAGCAAGTGCGCCTAAAGTTAATGTAGCTCCTCTACAACTCGAGGATGCTAATGAGCCCCCATTAAATACATACAAGCCTAAGGAACCTTATACTGCAACCATTCTTTCTGTTGAGAGGATTGTCGGCCCAAATGCTCCTGGAGAGACTTGCCATATTGTGATTGATCATGGTGGTAATGTGCCTTACTGGGAAGGGCAAAGTTATGGTGTAATTCCTCCTGTAAGTAACTCGTTGCATAGTATTTATGTTTTTCACCAATAACTGCATGATTTTTGGCCGAGAAAATTCGTTGAAAATGTTCACTTAGGTTGTCTTTTTGAACTAATCTTGATTAAGAGACATTAGTTTTTAAATTATGGTGCATCTATGATTTGAAATTTAAGAGGATTATGGTACGATTGTTTTCATCCCCATTTGATGTTGGGGGTCTTTCTCTTCACTTAAACCACATAGTTTTAAATCATGTTACTGCCATGCGAATAAATCCATCTGCACTCCAAATGTCTCCTTTGTAGTACCTTATTCTTATTGTTATTTACTTGCATGACAGGGTGAAAACCCTAAGAAACCTGGGGCTCCGCA